CATATCAGCAAGTGATGCAGTACAAATGTAAGAATGAAAATATTAATTTTGGGTATAGATTGGAACAAAAATATAGTACAGTACATATCATGTCCAGTATTAGGCCATACAGTCCAGTAGGGTAGAAAAAGAGGAAAAAAAAAAAAACATCGAGTCTGCTGACTGTCTTGCTATTCCCATACGCTAGATTCCCAGTTCAAAACAGGCAACACCCCAGCTGGTACGACTAGTGTACAGTGTACAGTACAGTACAATACAGTATGTACGCTGTATCAGCGCTGGACTAATCCGACTTCTTAAAAGTGCCACTGCGCAGTACAGTAATCAGCCTGCACAGTACAGTATCAGTCAGAACAGTACAGTACAGTGTATTGTACTGTGTACGAAATACTGTACTTCGTGTATCGCTTTACTGAAGTACAGTACCGTACCGAGTTCGGTACACTGATACAGTATAGTTGGAAACCGTTATTGAGTCGTTAATTAATAAAATTATCATAACTTGACAAGATAGCACCACGGTAAAAAAGGCTGACGATAGCGATCGACCCCGATATTACGTAAATAATAAGTGATGAGTCACTGGTGAAGCAGTCAGTGATTCGTGATAGTCCATCACTTTCCTCTACATAGCAACGATTCTGTTTGCCAACAAGTTAAAATTGATCTTGATCTAGTACAGCCAGTTAAGAAGTAATCTTATTATTGATATAATTACCAGCTTTACGACTAAGATGGATCCATTAGAGTATCGTATTCAAGCTAAAGCGATTTGCAATGGGTAATTATTTCAAAATAATGCGTCATATACTATCACTAACTACATTTTAATTGCTATCAAGTTTGATTTGAGTTGGAATAGACAATTATCATATCTTAATTTTGGCATGACCATAAGTATAGCGAAAGATATTGAGGTTAAAAAAAGAAAAAATAACCGTGACCGGAATCTAGTACATTGCATACGATCTTTATTATAACTCTTGTTAGCCAAGATTTAAGACTAATAAACGATCGATAGGCAGTAGTTAAGACCGAATTTCGTACAGTAAACGATCGTAGTGTTATTGTTGTTAATTTTGTTACGATATGGCTTCAAAGATCAATCGATTAGTAATTGATAGGTTGATGATTTCTTAAATACTACGTATTGTTTTCTGTTTTTTATTTTATTTACTCGTAGTGGATGGTATTAGCAAATATTAATTGTACTACTAATAAACTCTTCACGTTTTAATCGTTTATGTTCGTATCTTCAGAGATATTTTATCATTGGATCTGGATTCACGATCGTCGTATGATGAATTATGTGATGTCATCCG